TTGAACTAACGAAAACCAGATCAAGAACTCTGTTAAGCTGACTATTAAAATTATTAATTTGAACTCAAGACTTAAAATATTTTCTAAACAATATGTTTCATGAGGTGCAGTAACGTTAGTTGGTATTAGGCCGAAGTTGGAGTACTTTCCAGACCAAATGATGCTAGGAAGGTTGAAATCGCCAAGAACGCACAAGTGATTGGCACCTAATTTATTTTGAACCAAGTGTATTATGTTGTCAGTATGGGATTTGTAAATGTCGAAGGTACTGCTCGGCGGAATACATGAGGCAATAAGATACAGGGATCCATACGTTGAGGAGCCTTTTATGCAGATACACAACAGATCCAGAATGGCATCAGAATTGCAAAGATTTATTTGAAATGCCCGTAAGTTACGTTTCACAGCTATTAGCACTCCACCGCCTAGCGAGCGGCCTGTTTTAACTGCATCTCGGTCTTTAACATTAAAGAATTTTGAGTCGAAAAATTCTTGATCGTAAAAATCAGGACTTAGCCAAGTTTCGATTAGGACAAAGACATCATAGTCAAGATGAGCACTGAAGGTTCGGATAGCCTCCGACTTGGTACGCGTGCCACCCATATTTTGAAAATAGATCCTTACATCTTTGTAAACGCAAACACTTATATTGGTTAATTGCTAGGCATCATTGCTCCTCACGACTTCTCTTTGGATAAATTGAAACAATCGAACTTTAAGACGCCCTGGATTTAAAATCGTATCTAAGAGCGACGGTAAAACACCAAGCTTAAAGTTAATTTTCCTTAGCTTTTTGACGTCAGTATCTTTTTTGATGAGTGGAAAGCAGGCAATTTGACTACCATTTTTAGATAACAAACAAAAGAAAAATAGTCAAAACTTGGCAAATTGTCGCGACTCTATTAATTTGTCCGACACTATAAATACTTATTATATTTTCTGTTTCGTAATACATCAAACAAGATTAACAAATAATAAATTATCCAAAAACTAAGATCTACCACATTTTTCCCCAGATTCTACCACACGGAATTTTTTAAGTTCGATCACTGGTAAACCCACCTGTTCTTACCAATGGTGGTTTTCAGAAAGGTGGAAAAGCTATATTTAACCTTTATGTCAACGGCAACATACCCGGGTATGATTTGCGTTTTCAAATTGCTCTTTCTTGGAAACTATACATCGGATTAACTTGAAATTTCATGATATCCTCAACAAAAGTATTCTACACCATATTCCCATGTCTGAGTTGGATTGGACCACCTGGACCTGAGATCTGGCCATTTTTCGACTTTTACCCCTTACATCAACAGCTGCATACCCGGGTATGTATGTGAAAATGCATGCAAATATGTTGATACACTTGAAAAGTAAACTTTATTACGAATAAATTTCTTAATATAGTACAAGAATATAATGATAATATAATATTATGATACATGTAAAATAAAAATAATATTAATAAATTGGAAATTATAAACTTTTTAGTTACATATATTGCATTGCGGCAAATTAGCAGAATGTTTTGCACAAACGATTTTTTTGCACAATATGCAGGCTTTTTTGTTGGACGTCGTTTGGAGCCTATGTATAACAATGAACCTTTGATTTTATTCTGCCTGTAGTGTCACGTTCTTCATCGCCTCCTAGTGCAACATCCATTATCCTCAAAGGACCGCCGTTCATTGCTTCAATGGCGTTGCGCATAGAGAATATTCTGCTTATTCGACTATTACGATGGCTGAGTGGAACATCGACCTATCTCGACAGCCAGTTCGAAAACNGCGCATAGAGAATATTCTGCTTATTCGACTATTACGATGGCTGAGTGGAAGATCGACCTATCTCGACANTTTCGACTTTTACCCCTTACATCAACAGCTGCATACCCGGGTATGTATGTGAAAATGCATGCAAATATGTTGATACACTTGAAAAGTAAACTTTATTACGAATAAATTTCTTAATATAGTACAAGAATATAATGATAATATAATATTATGATACATGTAAAATAAAAATAATATTAATAAATTGGAAATTATAAACTTTTTAGTTACATATATTGCATTGCGGCAAATTAGCAGAATGTTTTGCACAAACGATTTTTTTGCACAATATGCAGGCTTTTTTGTTGGACGTCGTTTGGAGCCTATGTATAACAATGAACCTTTGATTTTATTCTGCCTGTAGTGTCACGTTCTTCATCGCCTCCTAGTGCAACATCCATTATCCTCAAAGGACCGCCGTTCATTGCTTCAATGGCGTTGCGCATAGAGAATATTCTGCTTATTCGACTATTACGATGGCTGAGTGGAAGATCGACCTATCTCGACAGCCATATCTCAGAAAATTTTTCAACAACGCTCTATTTCAGAATTTTATTAAAAAGCATCCTATCTCAGAATTTGATTGAAGAACGCCCTATCTCAGCTGCCGATTCCAAAACGCCCTATCTCAGCAAATTTTCAGTGTATTTTCGTTTGATCGATCTTCAACCAAATTCTTAGATAGGGTGTTTTTCAATAAAATTCTGAAATAGGGCGTTCTTCAATCAAATTCTGAAATAGGGCGTTCTTGAAAAGTTTTCTGAGATAGAGCGTTTTTGAACTGACTGCCGAGATAAGTCGATCTTCCACTCAGCCATCGATTAGTAGCTTCTACTTCTATTTCAGGTTTCGCCAGGTGCTTACAAAGTTGTTGAAGGAACATCACACGTCGCTTTGTAGAAGCCTTCTGCTGTGGGTTGTCTCCACGTAAATTATGTACATACGTAGCTAAGACAGCCACGTCCAGGATATTATAACATAATGGTAAAGGACATTTATTCGTTCGCCGCTTGTATGAATATTCTGCTAAGCGTTTAACCATGTTATTAACGTCCCCTTTGGTTTTGTTGTGATTTAATATCAAAAGTGACTTTTTCTTAAGACCTCTAACTTCGGGTTTGTAACGCATTCCTGAAAGTATTACAACTGATTTATTTTTCTTCGGCACGAGCTTGTCCATTGTTTGCCGACCTGAATTTGTTGTGGGTTCGAAGCTGGCAGTTTGTGGTGGTACAGCATACCAAGTTTTTCCATCTTGTCAGAATAGTTTCCCCGGTTTAACCTGGTCTGTCGTCCTTTTCTCATCTTCACTTTCGTCTTCCGGGTCGTATTCTGGTGACTGGATTTCTTCTATATCGGAGTCATCTGGAGTTACATCAAATTCGTCCTCCACAATCTCTTCAGATACGAAAGGCTCTCCGTCACTATTTTCCTCGCCTAATTCTTCTAACATCTAGCGAATGTATTCTTGCTGTTCCTCAGGGTCGAATCACTAAGCTGTCGTAGAGTGAGTCATTCACCATCTTCCATTTTTACTTTTGTAAGATTGTTTCGTTGGGAAACACTTGGCAATCAAAACCCATATCTCTTCAGTCTCTAAGTTCGCACTACATAAATTCAAGTAAATATCAGAGTATAAATACTCTTTTGCCTACGAGGTCTTCAGGTTTGTGCAAGCGTTCAACTACATGATGTAACCAGAAATATCACAAAAGTTATTTGCGTCTACTTGAAAACCCCTTTTCTCACATAGTTATACAAGTTTTTTACCTAAACAACCTGTTCGAGCGTTAAGCTCTCACTATACTTGTCGTCGCAAACCCTTTGCACTTTCGTTTTCGATAGCTACGCCACTGGCTCATACTTTTCATTACTCATGCTTCGGTCGCTCTACATTGCACATTCGTCGCTGCATTGCACTTCATTGTTGTTGCTAACGCACCGCTAATCAGCAGCTTATGCAAAGGTGCGTGCATAAACAACACAATTTTTGGACCATCGTTGCGCGCGTCACTCGTCGTAGCGGTTATAAATTCTTCGCTGCACAAACAACAATAAGCATCGCTAAACCGCACATTTCCATATCGCTCTTCTCCCGCTATTCGTCGTTATTAATATTTAAGCATAAGCAAATAGTTTAAGAAATTGTCTGTACAGTCCATTTGAAGATCTCCTAGCGTACGGAGCAATAAAGGCATAAAACCAGACTTCAATTTGTTAAATTATTTTTTTGCATTCGACAGCCGGTAAAAACCATTACTCGGCTCGACCAAGGTCCTTCGAGCCGGATCGAACGGCAATCGCAGTTAATTTTCTGTATTTTCGCATCGTGAAATCTGACCACTTAACTTTAAACATAAAAAATTTTTGCCTTGATAATGGATGCAGAGGGCAAAGCAGATCCACAGGTTGGCGACGCGGCGACACCACCAAGGTCAAGCAGCAACAACAACATTCGCGTTAAGGAGCTGCAGCGAGAACAGTTATGCTGTCGAGTTGCTGATCTACGTGAAAACTTGCTTCACCTCAACGCCATGACACCCTCGCAACTCGAGACTAAGCTAGCGCTCCTCGAGCATCATTTCACCACTTTCGAGCGCTTGCAATCAGAGCTGGAGTTTCTAGATGACTCGCAATTTGAATTGGATCATCGCATCGTCTTCGAAGAGTCTTTTTGTGAGGTGAAAAGTACCATCGTCGAACGTCTAGCTGTACTTCGAAGAAGTGATTGCCTCAGTAGCACCATAGTCCCTGCACTAAATTCTTCGTCGTCACCGCCAGCCCGGCATAGTTTGCCTAAGCTGCAGCTTACTAAATTTAGCGGCATACTGAGTGGCTAGACTTCTACAACATGTTTAAAGTCCTTGTGCACAACAATGCTGGACTTGATGATATTGAGAAATTTCATTGCGTTGCTTAGTACAGCGCTTCGTTATCCAGTCTGAGTACGAACAATTACACGCGGTAATTGCTTTACTTAATGGTATATTTTCAATCACACCTGCAAGCTATCTTCGATAATGGGGCACTCAGTCACCCAACCGTCGTTTCTCTTCGGGAATTCATCGATTCCATTAACGCTCATCTACGTGCCATACAGTCATTGGCATCGCGCAGTCAAATCGCTGACGGGATTTTACTCCATCTCATCGTGGCAAAGTTGGATCAGAAATGCAGCTCAAATGGGAAGAAGAAGTGTCAGCCAAGTGGGACAATTCAGCAAATACTTCGCTCCAACTTCCATCGTGGGATGATCTAGCTTCGTTCATTGAGCGACGCTGCCAAACAGTTAACATGGTAAAGGCCAACAGAAGCGCATCGGGTAAGGTCCCGGCCGCAAAAACCCCCGCCCGTTCATCGAAGGTTAGTTCAGCATTGGTCACGTCATCGAGCAACACAAATGCCCACTATGCGATGAACTCGCCACACACAGTGCATTCAAATGTGACAAATTCACCGCCATGGATCCAATGCAGAGGTATGATCTTGCTAAGAAGAAAACCCTTTGCTTGAACTGTCTGAGTAAAGGCCACGTATCAGCAGCATCAAACAATCGGTGCCAATACTGCAAGGTAAGTCATCATTCTCTACTTCATCGTACTCCACCTTCCACGTCGTCTGCACAAGAGTCCACGCAAGCACAAGCAGTGGCGCTGCACGCTCATCGACCAGTTAATGAGTCATCCTTGCTACTGCAATAGTGCAACTTCACAACAATCGTGGCACCTCGGTCATGGCTCGTGCGCTGCTTGACTCGGCATCTCAGTTAAACTTCGTTTCCGAGCGCATCGCCAGATGCTGAAGGCTTCTCGCACCAAAATCGCCATGGAAATCAGTGGAATAGGAGCGCTATGAACTAAAGCAAAGTACATAGCTGTTGTCGGACTCAAATCCCTGCATACGGGTTTTTCATCGTTATTGGAAGCGGTTATCATGCCATCGATTTCATCGTCTCAGCCACGAACCACTATCGATATTGTTCGCTGGGGAATACCCAAAAACATAAATTTAGCCGACACCAGCTTTTATATCCCCGGTGCTATTGTCTGCTTCTTGGTGCGAGCGTTTTCTTCGAAATTCTTTCGGTGGGGCAAATAAAGTCGCACAAAAATCTACCCACACTGCAGAAGACACAGTTGGGCTGGATTGTTGCTGGAGCTCTCACTTCACATTCCCCACTCTCGTCATCATCGGGTTAACATCGTCGTCCTTGCCTCATAACGAGTCATCTTCACTCACGAACTCATCGCTGGAAGCCCGCTTGGAAAAATTCTGGGAGATAGAAGATAACTGTTATAAACTATCGCTGGTGCGCGCAATTACAGAGCATGAATGTGAAGAACATTTTCTCCGAAATACTACGCGCTGCTTGCTCACCAACAAATTCATCGTACGCCTCCCCTTCATCGAAAATCCCGCTGGGTTAGGCAATTCACTGGAAACTGCTCGCCGAAGATTTTTCGCAATAGAAAGGAGACTAGAAAGCAACGAGGAGATGCGGCAAGAGTACAAGGCGTTCATGAACGAGTATAGTGAGCTAAAACACATGGTTGATCCAAGGGAATTGACGTCGAAGGTGGGTACCTACATTCCCCACCACTGTGTTGTGAAGGTGGATAGTTCGACAACCAAGCTACGTGTGGTATTCGACGCTTCATGCCGCACGTCCAATGGAAAAGCGCTGAATGACATTCTACACGTAGGGCCCACACTACAAGATGACATAGTTAAAATTCTCCTTCGTTTTCGAACTCATCGCTTCGTCTTAATGGCTGATATTGCCAAAATGTATCGGCAAATCATCGTTGACTCACGTGACGCCAAATGGCAGTGTATTTTGTGGCGCAATTCACCTTCAGAACCGCTAACGACATTTCAACTGCAAACTGTAACATACGGCACCAGTTGCGCTCCATTCTTGGCAGTTCGTTGTTTGCAGCAACTTGCACGCGAAAACATGAAAGCCTACCCCGTAGGAGATCGAATCACCCTTCGGGACTTCTACGTGGACAATTTAATGACAGGAGGGTCTACTGTAGAAGAAGTTATCAGAATAAAATCTGAAGTCACCGCATTACTAGCATCGGGAGGCTTCCCCCTTCGCAAATTCGCCTCTAACTGCAGCGAAATTATTGCAGGCATACCCAGCGTGGACATGGAGGAGATTATCACAGTTGATGACATGACCTACATAAAGGCGCTTGGGTTGAAATGGTCACCAACTAGCGATCAATTCCTCTTCTCGTACAATTCGTCGCAACACACTTCACCGAAGGCTACCAAACGTACCATATTAGCACAAGTGGCAAGTTTCTTCGACCCCCTAGGCGTACTTAATCTTATCATCGTTAAGTGCAAAATTTTGATGCAACACCTCTGGAAACTGCGTTTAGCGTGGGATGAAAGTGTACCGCTCTCTATTTGCACAGAATGGGAGAGCATATGCCAAAAACTAGCCCTCGTCAACCGCATTAAAGTGCCACGGTATGTATGCTTTAACAATAACACTAACCTACATGCCTTTGCGGATGCAAGCGGTAAGGCATATGGGGCCTGTATTTATGCTGTCTCTCACAATGACAACGCGGTGCAGTCAACGCTTATTTGCGCTAAGTCACGAGTGGCACCAACGAAGGAAATCACCTTGCCCAAATTGGAACTATGCGCAGCTCTGCTACTCTCAGAGCTGCTTCAGTCGGTCTTGGAGACATATAGCGCGCGGCCTAGCAATGTACACTGCTAGTCTGACTCAACGATCACCTTATCATGGTTGCAGCGTGAACCACATCACTGGACCACGTTCGTAGCTAACCGGGTGGCAAAAATTCGGCGCATCACGGCTGACTTTACATGGCATCACGGCTGACTTACATCCAGCGGATTTGGTGTCACGTGGGGCTTCAGTAGAGGGGCTCATCGGTAATAACTTGTGGTTTCATGGACCAGCATTCCTGGCAAAGAACAGTAGCAGCTGGCCACGCAATCCAGTAGACGCTTTACAAGAAGTTCCAGAGCAACGAATGCTTTGTTTTTCCGTGACATCATCGCTACAAGAAGATATCATCGCTGAGCATAAGTACGTGAACAGCTACGGCAAACTTCTTCGTATCTTCGCTTACGTCAGACGGTTTACTTCGTCGCTGCGTCATCGTTTTGTTGAATCTGGACCGATTACTGCCAGAGAACTATACGACTCGTTGTTGACTGTATGTCGATACATACAGCTCGTAGCGTTCGCCGATGATCATAGGTCACTGCACACATCTGGAGTTAGTCGTAGTACTAAGCTCCATCAATTATCGCCATTTCTACACGACGAAATAATCCGGGTTGGTGGAAGAATTTCGAACTCATCGTTGCCTTGGACCACAAGGCATCCAATACTTCTTCCAAAAACGCACCCATTCGTGCGTACCCTCATTGAAGCGTTTCATCGCCAACACCTCCATGCAGGTTGCCAAACTCTGTTGAGCATTCTTCGCGATAGATTTTGGATTATCAATGCTCGAAGCATCATCAAACAGGTAATTCACAACTGCATTTTGTGTTATCGCAACAAACCCAAACTGGAACAACAGCTCATGGGCGCACTTCCTCGAGAACGTGTGGAACCCGCTCATCCCTTTGAAGTAGCTGGTGTAGATTATTGCGGCCCTTTGACGATCACGCAACGCATCAGAAGCAAGGGCCCCCTCAAAGTGTACATAGCGCTGTTTATCTGCTTCACAACAAAGGCGGTGCACCTGGAGTTGGCACCAGACCTAAGCACACCATCGTTCATTGCCGCCCTAAAGCGCTTCATTGCGCGCAGAGGCAAATGTCGAACAATCTTCTCTGATAATGCAACAAATTTCGTCGGTGCAAATCGAGAGCTGCGAGAGCTTTTATCTGCATTCACGTCGCAACAGCACATCGATAAGGTTCAATCAGGCAATCAGGAGAAGGCATAGAATGGAGATTCATACCCCCACGGTCACCCCACTTCGGTGGGCTATGGGAAAGCGCAGTAAAGCGTGCCAAGTATTATCTACGGCGCGCTGTCGGCTCTCATCTGCTCACATTTGACGAGCTACACACGGTTTGCTGCCAAACGGAAGCGATAATAAACAGCCGCCCACTAACGCCTTTATCTTCGAGCCCCGACGATCTTCGTGCGCTTACCCCTGCGCATTTCTTAGTTGGCAGAAGTCTCACCACTGTCATCGAACCATCGCTTCAACAAACTTCTACCGGATTACTCGCCAGGTACCAAATTGTTCAATCAGTACAACAAGGCTTTTGGGAACGATGCAGCGCACAAAGTGGAAGACTACATGTCAAAATTTGCAGAAGAACGACCTGGTTCTTATCAAGGAAGAATCCTCACCACCTATGAAGTGGCCACTGGGTAGAGTGGTCGATATTTTCGCCGGCAAAGATGGTGCAGTACGAGTGGTTCTTATCAAAACCGCTGATGGAACATATAAGAGAGCCATAACTCGTGTATGCAAGCTACCTATCGATTCGTCGTCGCCGCAACATCAATAGTTGGAGCCAAGCTTCCAAGGGGGGGGAGAATGTTCGAGCGTTAAGCTCTCACTATACTTGTCGTCGCAAACCCTTCGCACTTTCGTTTTCGATAGCTACGCCACTGGCTCATACTTTTCATTACTCATGCTTCGGTCGCTCTACATTGCACATTCGTCGCTGCATTGCACGTCATTGTTGTTGCTAACGCACCGCTAATCAGCAGCTTATGCAAAGGTGCGTGCATAAACAACACAATTTTTGGACCATCGTTGCGCGCGTCACTCGTCGTAGCGGTTATAAATTCTTCGCTGCACAAACAACAATAAGCATCGCTAAACCGCACATTTCCATATCGCTCTTCTCCCGCTATTCGTCGTTATTAATATTTAAGCATAAGCAAATAGTTTAAGAAATTGTCTGTACAGTCCATTTGAAGATCTCCTAGCGTACGGAGCAATAAAGGCATAAAACCAGACTTCAATTTGTTAAATTATTTTTTTGCATTCGACAGCCGGTAAAAACCATTACTCGGCTCGACCACAACCGTTTTCGCATATATGTACATTCAAAACCCACGATGATAAAGTGTGGTCTGAGAAACTAATTATTCATATAGTAAAATATGGGGGTTTCCAGCGGAAGGTCCACCACGACAAAAAAATAAAAGTTTTATATCTAATGTATTTACGGGCCGATTTGTCTGCTTTTTAAAATATATACTGGCTATGTAAGTAGAATCATGTTTGCATAAAATGATCTTCCTAGGTGGTGCCAAGGTCGAGATATTTCGAAAAACCGTATTTATGGTCCGATTTGGTGCAAATTTGGCGTATGTGGTTGGAACATAATAAATCATAGATTTCCAATAAATTGACCCCGAATTGGCGCTGAAGTTAAAATATAAAGTATATTCTACATAAAATACATGTTTTATTTGCGTTAAAAATTCATTTAAAAGCAATATTAACAAAAATATAACGATGGAAATTTATGTCACGTAACGCCACGTCACGTCACGTTTCACACTTGGGGTTGTAAAAGAGAATTGAAACAATTTGCAATAATTCAAAAAACTCTAAAAACAACTAGAATTGCTCCAAATAATATTAAAATAAGTTTCATGAAAATAGCCATCCACAATTCGCAGAGTTTTGCGATTTTGTAAGAAAAGAAAAATCAACTTCCATTTTTTGTCACGTAACGACCCTCTCTTTAAATGTTTATATTTCAGGACCAAGCAGTTCGATTGATTTCATTTTTCGGTTAAATATAGAGCTAATTATGTGCTATAGAATGGCCCAAAAAAGTTAAAGAAAACTAATGGTATTCCTTTTTTGTATCACATTGGAATAGTACGACTGTCACGTGCGCCACCATGGGAATGCCCATATCATATTTCGCAAATATTGTTTTACATACTTAAAATAAGCATATTTTTTTTAAAAAATGACNTTTAAATGTTTATATTTCAGGACCAAGCAGTTCGATTGATTTCATTTTTCGGTTAAATATAGAGCTAATTATGTGCTATAGAATGGCCCAAAAAAGTTAAAGAAAACAAATGGTATTCCTTTTTTGTATCACATTGGAATAGTACGACTGTCACGTGCGCCACCATGGGAATGCCCATATCATATTTCGCAAATATTGTTTTACATACTTAAAATAAGCATATTTTTTTTAGAAAATGACATAAAGTCTTAGCCAGATTAAAAGAAATGTGTTAAATATTCACATTTTCGTCATAACACAATGCCATTTCCCATACAAAATGTACATATGTGCATACCCGGGTATGCTGCTGTTGACGTACGTATAATTTTTCTGCTGTTGACATAAAGGTTAATACTTTCGCGGTATTTAATGTTTGGCTTCGCCCGGACTTAGCATTCTTTACTTGTTCTGTATAATTTCGTTACCTAAACTTCAACTTACATATGAGTAGTCCACTTGCAAAGTGCGCTATGTAAAATTTTTTCGATTTTTAGTTTTTGGTGGATTGCGTACCAGTATTTAAAGTAGTTTCATGTCCGCTAACAACACAGTGCAAAATCTTTTTATATTCTGAAACAAATAGCATAAAATGTTGACTCTTCTTCCAAAAGTCGCTATCATACTTATTTATAAACTTTGAAAAGTATCCATCTTCTGATGAACCTAGAAAACTGCTTTAGGTCGTGTAGTCTGTTAATGTTATCTTATGTCATAGTATGTTATGTTATAATTTTATAAGGCTCTTATTTATCCAAATTTTTAGGCAATAATAAAAAAGATTCAATTTAAATGCTACTTGTTGTTGTAGTCGTTTTTTCAAATTTATGGCTTTCTATTATAAAATCACATAACGCTGTTTGCAAGTGGACTACACATATGTATGTACGCATATCTATATATGACTACTCTTTTATACAAATACACTATACTAATTATTTATAATGGTTTAGTGCAGTTGTAATTCTCCAACAAGATAGCTAACTAGCTACTTTTACATTCCATAACATTGTAGAGGCTTTATTGCAAAATTAATATAATCAGTCACTTTTGCAAAAAAATTTTGAAAAAGATATGAGTCTTTTTATGAACCATGAAGCATTTTAAGCTCGTATCTAAGTAGGTACTTGACACTCGATGGGTGGTAGATAATTTTTTAGCAACAAGGACGAGTAAGCCCAATGTGTTCATCCATATTAATTTTATTGAGTTCGAGATGGCGCTAAGCGATATGCGAGTACTTGAACAAATTTACATTTAGGCATTTCGCTAAATACGTTAGGGTCAAATTGGGGTGGCACAACTAGACTTTACCTAGCAAAGCGTCACACAGCTGTTCTCCATTGAGAAGGCGATGATTTGGAAACGTGAAATTCTAATGAAAATATTTTAGCACGTGCTTCAGATTTTTTCTCGGGCTGAAATTTTTATCGCTCGAGCTTGAAGAAAAACATACAAGAAAAAAACAAGCACATTTAATAGTTACATATTTCTTTTTTAGAAGTACCCACATACATGTGTACATATGTATGTATATGCACATGTAAATAAGTTCAGTTATTGATATAAAATCACGTCTGTTTATTTTTTATTACTTGCACTCTCCATTAGAGATTGTTCAAATGCTGCGATTCATCTCTGGCGATGAAATACTGTAGAAGACCGCTAATCGCAGGGGATAGGTAGCAGGAGATATTGCTTGCGAGGCAATAAAAAGTCAATTTGTGAGTTTTTCAGCCTCTTTTAACTTATAATTTTGATGAAATTGGGTTTATACATAATATATTTGCTAGGTTAAGGACTACTATATTATCGTGATAGATGATAAATCTATGAACTATGCAGAAAGATTAACTCTTAATTAGGCGTATGGGGTCAAGGCCATTTTAAGTTGGAAAAAAATGTTTGAGTGCTTGCAGCGCGCTCGCGCTCTTTCTATCTTCCTACCACCCTGCGGGGTACGTAAATTAGTCACGGCCAGAACATCGGCGCGTACACATGTGGCACTACTCTCTTAAGTCCTGACCCCTTGCGACCAGTTACGTAAAATTTTTTGACGGAGGTTAAGGTGCCCACAATCACCGACGTGTACGTATGCCGTGTCTGTTTGACGTAGCAACATATAAAATTTAAGGTGCCCACATTCACCGACGTGTACGTATGCCGTGTCTGTTTGACGTTGCAACATATAAAATTTACTGGTGATAGAAAGAGAGAGAAGCAGTACACGTCACGCATAACCGTCGCACGTACAAGATGGTGGGTTTTCATTTACATGGCGCTCTCATAATTTTGATCGTGTCAGCTGACACGTTAACATACATTTACGTCAGTGAGTGTGGCCTGACACGATCTAACTTATGAGAGCACCATGTTAATGAAAACTCACCACCGTGTAAGTGCGACGGTTACGCTTGCCTCTCTCTCTCTCTATCAACATGGCGATTGCACCGTCACGGGTGGGACATTTGTACAGAAAAAATTTTATTTCTTGTTTAAATTTAAGTACAAAGTACTCAACAATTCTTAAATTTGATAAAGCTACAACTAATTGACTATTATATGAGTTATTACAAAATACGAAAAAAAATTCCACCTTAATTTTATATGGAAAAAATCTGATTTATTTCTTCTGTCACGGGTTGGACAAAAAAAAAATAACCTGCTTTTTGGAGCATATATATTTTACGGAAACTCTGCGAATTTATTTCACTTTTCTGTGTGAACTTGATGTCTTATAATAAAACAAAGAACCAGGAACACAAACAAAGCAAAACCTACAAAAAAAAAATGATGGCTTTATTATAAAAAAAAATCCGAAATTCCACTGCCACGGGTGGGACAACGTTTGTCACGGGTAGGACACGTACGAATTTTTATATGAAAAGGAGCTTTTAGTGTGGTCCATATATAAAGATTAGTTATTAAAAAATATAAGAAGCCAAGTAGG